ACTTTGGAGAACAGTGTGGAGATTCCTCAAGAAATGTAAAATAGAGTTTCCCTATGACCCTGCAATTGCACTACTGGGTATTTACCCCAAAGATACAGATGTAGTGAAAAGAAGGGCCATCTGTACCCAAATGTTTATAGCAGCAATGGCCACAGTCGCCAAACTGTGGAATGAACCAAGATGCCCTTCAACGGACGAATGGATAAAGAAGATGTGGTCCATATACACTATGGAGTATTATGCCTCCATCAAAAAGGATGAATACCCAACTTTTGTAGCAACATGGATGGGACTAGAAGAGATCATGCTGAGTGAAATAAGTCAAGCAGAAAGAGCCAATTATCATATGGTTTCACTTATTTTGTGGAGCATAACAAATAACATGGAGGACATGGGGAGATGAAGAGGAGATGGGGGAAATTGGAAGGGGAGGTGAACCATGAGAGACTATGGACACTGAAAAACAACCTGAGGGTTTTGAAGGGGTGGGGGGGGGGGGGGGGTGGGGGGAACTAGGTTGTGGGTATTGGGGAGGGCACGTATTGCATGGAGCACTGGGTGTGGTACAAAAACAATGAATACTGTTAACGCTGAAAAGAAATAAAAAAAAATAATGGGTCTGTGTATTCCAACACACCTCTCATCTTTTCTCTTCCAGGCTCCATGGCCTCTTACCTGCTAATCAGCCCCCCTCAGTGTTGGTGACTCTGGGACAGACAGACAGGATCACCTGTGGAGGAAACAACATTGGAAGGAAAGATGGTCAAGGGTACCAGCAAAACTATTCCAGACCCCCTGCAGATTATCTATGGTGATAGCAACTGGGACAAAGGCATTCTTGACCAATTCTCCAGATCCAACTTGGGAACATGGCCACCCTGACCATCAGCGGGGCCATGGCTGAGGATGAGGCAGAATATTACCATCAGTCATTTGACTACAGTGGTCATGCTCACAGTGACACAGGCAGGCAGGGAAGTGAGACACAAACCCCTTCCCCGTCTGTGTCACACTCTCCTCCAACCCCAGGAGGCCAGTGCACAGAGCACTGTGCAGATCTGACCCAGGTCCCCACATCTGAGGTCCCCTGAGATCCCGCTCCACCCAGCCCACCATTTAGGTTCTGTGCAGGGTGGATGGCAGAGGAAATGTACACAGATATTAAAACTACATTTCACCTGGGACTGTGATGAAGGAATGACTAAACAGGTAAGAAGAAATGGAGATATTTTTTAAAGTCCCAAAATGAAAATTACATGATCAGAAATACACAAGCGAGATTGTCAGCAGATCTGATGATACAAAAGCAAAGATTAGTGAGCTGCATGAAAAACTAATGATGTATTGTATGATGACTAACAACACAATAAAACTTTTTAAAAAAGGACATGTCACTGTCCACACAAATATAGTAACTATGTACGCTGGAATTTCTGACAAAGGTAAAATAATATGGAGGAAAATCACAGTGAATATGCTGAGAGGTGAGACACAGAAGGATGTTATCAGGTGCTTACATTCCATGTAATGTGGCAGCATCATCAGATTGTGGACTATTGCAAGTTACTGATCATAAGACAGAAAGAACTTACAGCTTGTAAGCAGAAGTAGATAAAATGGAATCATATCAAATGATCCATTAATCCAATTAAGATACATGAAAAGAGGAAAAAGACCACATGGGACAACAAGAAAATAAAGGGAAGATGCTATATTGAAAGAACAGTACTAATCACATTCAGGAATGCTCAGAACACCACAATTAAAGACAGGGATTGTCAGATTGATGCCACAGCAACACCCAAGTGGCTGCTGCTCATGGGAAACTTCCAGTAAAGGAAATGACTCTGAAATCTAGGAACATTTGAGGACAATTCACACCCAATTCTGCTTCACAATGTGAGCCATAAAACATTCACAGAGAACAGAGAGAAAATCTGGGAAAATGAGTTGAATCCTTAAAATAATTAGGATGAACACTTTCTGTTATGTATTTTACACAGAGAGAAGGGAAGAAATAATCTCAGTGCACATTCCATAAGAACAGGACTAGAAGTGCCTCCACATGTCCCTTCCTTCCCCAGGCTTAACGATGTTCAAACACACGGTGGCAAGAACTCCCTCTGCCGCCAAGAGGGGAGCACAGCTCCACGTGAACGAGATCCATGAAACTCACCCAGAAGCACAGAGATTCTCTCCAGCAGTGGGAGAAGGAATATCTTCAAGGGGACAAGTGAGGACATGAGGGAGGCTTGAGGTGGTCAGGGTCCAACTGGGGCTCAGGAGACAGTACTCTGGGGTCCCCACCATGGCGTAGACCATCTCCTGCTCCCCACACTATTCTCAGCCTGGGTGCTGCCCTTGGGCCTGCCCACAGGCTCAACCCCCACAATACTCTGAGCATGACCCTGACCCTGATTTCAGGCCAGGGGTTGCTGTAAGGGAGGAACCCCTGAGAATGATCCCCACAGTCCCCTGAATCTGCAGTCACTGTGGACCTCAGATGGCTCCGTGCCCCCTGTAGAATAGCCTGGACACCACTGGCACCCTCACCTCCTAGGAGAGCACAGAGAGAGGACCAAACAATAATGCAGGGCAGAGCCAGCAGGACCCAGGCCAGGCCTTTGCACAGCCAAACAACCTCCACCCTCCACAGATTCTCCAGCTCTAACCTCGGACACAAACCCACAGACTCTCCCCACATGCAGGCTGAGGGGCTCCTTTAGAGAACAGCCAGGATGGGGATGGCAGTGAGTTCAGGACAGAAACCCTGCTGCCCAGCCTGGCCTCACCCTCCCTTCCTCCCATTCTGTTCAAGTTCTGCCCTGAGAAGCCTAGGAGACCAACACACCTGGTCTCCACTCCTGGACTCAACCCACTTTCTTCTGTTTTACTGGGACACTAGCTACACTGGTCCTCACCTTACCTACTGTGAAATGGAGAAGCTTAACTCATGTAATAAATACTTTTTTCATATTAAATGATACAAAACCTTTAAGAGTCTCTTCCAAGAGCATGACTCAGTGAGGTGTCAATGAGCTAACCCTGTTGTTGGAGTCCCCTGTCTGCAAATGGGGGAATCCAAGGAAAAGTCTTCAGCTTTTCCAATACACTGTGACCTTCTTCATGTGCAGTTGGGTCCAGGTATGAATGAGCAGGATCCCATTTTCACCAAACCAGAGACTAAGCTAGTTTAAAAATCCTCCCACACCAAATTCCAGGAGATGCAGACTGGAATAAGGGAAAAGAGGTAAAAACAGCTGTAATAACAATAAAATTAAAGGTTTGCCTCTTCAACTGAATTTAGCACCAGAAGTATCACCTGTTGTTCTGATGACCTTGCTACATGGATAGGGATGCAGGAAGCATTAGTCCTGATTCCCAAATACACAAGAACCTGGTGGCTGTGGGACATCAAACACATTTGTCTGGACAATGACACTTTTCAAATGCGCTTGCACTGTACCCCGCACTCTCCTTTCTGAAACAAGACTGCAGGCTAAGCCAGAGCATTTCAACCCTGTGAAAAGTACAAGAATCACACCAGCTCTGCATCCTGCAACTTGTATGTGACCTTCTGCGCTGGGCAGGGTAGGGGTATGGCAGCTTCCTAGGAAAGCCTTAAAACCCTGGTTCACACCCCTTCTCATGCAACAGGTGATATGGGGTGACCTGCAGGAGGGAAGTTCCTGGTCTGAGTCCTCCTCCACCAGCAGGGGGCAGCAGAGCTGCAGCAAGAGGAGCAGGACAGAGGCTGGGGCTGCCCAGGGCGAGCCTCACAGGGACACCAGGCCTGGAGGTCAGCAGGTTGTCTATGGTTCAGTCCTCAGAGACTGTCAGGATGATCCATCCTATCCCCTCAGGCTGCAAAGACCATGTTCTGAGAGTCAAACACACACAGTGTCACCAAGGACACTGGTGGGAGTCTTGACACAGAGAGCAACTCACCTGGGAAATTCAGGTCCCCTCTCTGTCCACCAGTGTCCCCAGGGACTGACTCCCCTCTGCTGGGCACATCCAGAGACACCCGATGACTCACACTCTGCCTCTCCTTCCCCACCTCCACCCCAACTTAGACCTGGGGCTGTAGCTCCTTTGTTCAAGAGCATCTCAGGGGTCAGGAGGCAGAGCACTCAGGACCCTGGTCCCTGGAAGGAGCATCCGCAGCCTCCTTCTGAGACTGTCTGCAGAGTGACGTGATTCTCATGGCTGTAGGGACCATGGCTCAGACCCTCGAACTCACAACATATGGTAACATGTGATCGTGTGGATCCTCACAAGATCACAAACCTTGAAGTTGTTCCTCATGGACTCCGGCCCTTTGCACAGGTTTGCATGAAACATTGACAATAATATTAAAAGGAATGAAATGGTTGATTATACCAATTGCTGGTCTGCTGTGGGATGGGGGCTGCATAGAGACAACAGCACCATGTATAAATAAACTAGAAATCCTCATGAATCTCCACAGCAGATGGTTGTTTAACAAGTAAGCACCTACTTACAAAATGATGAAAGAATCTCAAAATGAGAGAGTTTCCTATTTTGTTGTCATGCCAAGGATGGGACCACAGAGTCTCTGGGGGATGCAGAGAGAACAAGAAGCCAGGGAAGGATGTATTGAGGTCATAGGACCACCTTTCCCTGAATCTAGTGTTCTCTGCATTTCTCACAGGGACCAGGCCAGCCCCATGGCCAGGATTCTGGAAAGCCCTGGGCCAGCCCCGGACATGCCTCAGGCAGAATGGGTAGGGACACTGGTTGTGTTCAAACCCCAGGAATATGACTATGATACCAAATGTGGAGACCAATGCTCATTTTTCTGACCTGAGAGCTTTGGGAGGAAGCTATGGGATCCTTTGTTCCTCCTCAGTCACATGGTCTGAGCTCACAAGTTGTTTGAGTCCCAGAGAGGAGGAAATTTGCATAATTACTAACAACCACAGAACAAAAGGCCTGGAAAGAAAGAAGAGAGGCCAGGGTGAGCCTGGCCTAGCTGTGGTTTTCAGAAGACAGAGCTCTGGGCACATCCACCATGGCCTGGACCCCTCTTTTACTCCTTGTCCTCACTCTCTGCACAGGTGCTCTCCCCAGTCCAGCCCACAGTCTCAGCCACACAGGACCTGAGCTGAGCTTGCCCCAAACCCTGAGCTCAGGCACAACACAGCCTCAGTATTGGGACCACGGGATGAGCCCCTGGACCTCACTGCAACCTTTCCTCTTCTGCCTTTTCAGGCTCCGTGGTCTCCAGTGAGCTAACTCAGCCGCCCTTTGTGTCAGTGGCTCTGGGAGAGATGGCTACAATCACCTGCACTGGAGAGGAACTGGAATATGGTTATGTACACTGGTACCAGCAGAAGCCAGGGCAAGCCCCTTTAACGGTCATTTATGGGGATAGTGAGAGGCCCTCTGGGATCCCAGAGCGATTCTCTGGCTCCAAGTCAGGGAACACGGCTACCCTCACCATCAGCAGCACACAGGCCGAGGACGAGGCTGACTATTTCTGTCAGTCCTATGACAGCAGTGCTGATGCTCACAGTGACACAAGCACATGGGGAAGTGAGACACAAACCCCTTCCCCATCTGTGTCACCCTCTCCTCCAGCCCCAGGAGGCCTGTGCACAGAGCAGTGAATAGGTCTGGTCAAGGTCCCCAAGTCTGTGGTCCCCAGTCTGTCCCCTTCCTCCCAGTCCTCCAGGCAGACCGTACAGGGTGGATCAGCAGGGAATTTGTAAACAGCTGTTAGAACTCTGTTTCCTCTGGGACTGTGTGTGGAGGAAGAACTACAAATGTGAGAAGCAGAAATGGAAGACATTTTTTAAAGAACCATTCTTTTAAACTTCCCTAGATGAGTATGTCTCAAATGCAAAAATCCAAGGGATAGACTGACATCAGATATGATGCTGCAAAAGAAGAGATAAGGGAACTTGATGTCATAGTGATGGAAAGTATTCAAAACGAAACACACAGTGAAATACCTAATAAAATTAATGAAGGCTTATTGCTTGGAAGACACCTTCACACCAACTAGACAGTGTGCAAGTGTAGGGACTTCAGGGAGGGAAGGTAAGGGACTGGGGGTGAAATAAAAAGTCTGTGAAGATATAATCTACAAAAACACTTCAAATTTGGAGAAACCAGGAATCAATGTATCCAAGAAGCTCAACAAAGCTCAGACACAAGGAGAATGAGAGATAGAACAGCAAACATCTTGTGAAATTGCTACAAACCTGTGATGCAGACACTCTCACAGCCAGAGAGGAGAGTCGTGTTCCCTATAGAGATCCAGAACGAGCGACAATGAAGGACACCCCTTGGATAGAAGGAAAGGGTGACAGAGGGAAGTCTGAGTCTACAAAGTATAATAAGCTTGGGAAATCATAACTACATGGATTAACCTAAACAGAATTTAGTGGTCAATGTCTGTAAATACAATCAAGTGCTAAAATCAAAAACAAGAGCAATGTGATTGATTTATGATGGAGGAACAGGTAAAACATATGACAATGAGAGCAGAAATGATGAGGGAGATGAGACCAACTTATCGTCCTTATCCTACATGTGAGTGATGTCATGTCACTGGCAGGAACTCTGTTAAGGTAGAAGGTGAGGACTGCAAATCCACAAGAATCCCACCATGGCCTGGAACCTCTCCTGCTCCCCTCCACACTCCCTGCCCAGGTGCTGGCCCAGGTGCTGGCCATAGGCCTAGCCCCCACAGGGCCCTGAGCATTACCTTGACCTGAAGTCAGCCTGGATGGTGTGCACATGGTTGGGACCCAGAGAAGGAGCCCCTGAGTCTCCTGAACCTGGAGGCCTTGTGTCTACTGCAAGACTCATTGACCCCAGTTGTGTGTCCAGGCAACCCCTGTCGTTCCTTCCAACCTAGAAGACAGAGAGGACCAAGCAATAATACAGAGCAGATCCAGGAGGACACAGGCCAGATCCCTGCATAGCCAGACATTCTCCACTGTCCCTATAGATTGTCCAGCTCTAACCTGCTGACCCACCCCACGTGAAGGCTGATGGGATGTTCTTTACAGACCAGGCTAGGATGGGCTCAGGGACAGAAGCGCTGCTGCCCAACTTGACCACACACTCCTTCCCTCCCATCCCACACAAACTCTACCACAAGGAGCCGGGATCTGAATCCAGCACAACTGGGCTCCATCTTGGACTCACCCCCACTTTCCTCTGATCTCCTGGGAACCTAGTCTCCTTGGACCTCAACTTTATGTGTTATGAAATGCGGAAAATTACACTGATGTAAGAAACACTTGGTTTCCAAATTTACTGATGTACAAACATCTACAGAGTCTTATGAATGAAACAGAGATTGTAGGGTCTCAGTGAATGGGCACTGGGCTGGGAGTGTCTTGCTCATCTTCTGCAGAAATATGAGGAAAGGGGCTTAGCAAAAGTGTGATGTGTATGACGTGAAATTGCACATCCTGGCCGGATTCCCAACTTCCCTGCTTCATCCAAATCACCTAAGAGACTCATTTACACACCATCCACCCCCAGACAGCTAGTGCTATGGGTTATAATACAAACAGCAGTGGCAGAGATGACAGCAATAGGCCAATAAAGATTTAGGTGCACATGTGAAGGTTAGTGCTGGAAGGATCGCCTGTTGCACTGTGACCCAGTGACACTCACTGGGATGCAGGCAGCATCGGACCTGAGTCCTAAATGGAGAGAAAAGGATGCCAATGGGATCTCACAAAGGTTTCCTGGACTGTGACCCTTTCAAAATACACTACACTTGGGGCACCTGTGTGGCTCAGTGGGTTAAGCCTCTGCCTTCAGCTCAGGTCATGATCCCAGGGTCCTGGGATCGAGCCCCAAATCGGGTTCTCTGCTCCGTGGGGACCCTGCTTCCTCCTCTCTCTCTCTGCCTGCCTCTATACTTGTGACCTCTGTCTGTCAAATAAATAAATAAAATCTTTAAAATAAAATTCACTACACTTTACCCTGCACCCAACATGTTGCAACGGCCAGTGGGACAGGCTAGGGCATATCAACCCATGGACAAGGAGAGGGAATCCCACCTGTGCTGTCTCCTGCACAGTGTATGTGACCTTCTGTGCTGGTCTGGGCAGGGCAGTAGGGGCAGCTGCCTGTGGGACCTGGATAACCTTGTCCACACCCCTATTCAGGTGACAGGTGCTCTGGGGAGACATGCAGGAAGGAAGCTCCTGGTCTGAGTCCTTCTCCACCAGCAGGGGGCAGCAGAGCTACATCAGGAGCAGCAGGACAGAGGCTGAGGCTGCCAAGGGGGAGTCTAGAGGCACACCAGTCTGGGGATCAGCAGGGGTCCCGGGTTCAGTCCTCAGAGGCTGCCAGGATGAACCATCCTTATCTCCTCAGGCTGCAGGGACCTTATTCTGAGGGACGGATATACATTGTTACCCAGGTCACTGACAGGAGTCCTGACACAGGCAGTACCTCACCTAGAAATTCCACTCCCTTCATTCTCCACCTGAGGTCCCAAGGAACTGACCCTTCTGTGCTGGGCACATCCAGAAATGCCCTGACTCCTCACCTTCTGCCTCTTCTGGGCAACCTTCAGGCGGACTCAGACCCAGGGCTGCATCTGCCTTGAGCGTCTCATGAACAAGAGGTGGGGCACTCGGAGCTAGTGGTCCCTGGAAGGAGAGTCTGTAGTCTCCTTGTGAGACTGTTTCCAGAGTGCAGTGACTCCCACGGTCTCAGGCCACATCTCTGGCCCCTTTGCTGTCCTGATTCAGTGACAGAATCCAGTTCCCAGGAGGAACTACTGACTATCCAGTCCCCAGAGATCACACTGTGTACAGTCATGACCCCGGGGACCCTCACAGACACACAGAGCTTAAAGTGAGTTCCTGAGTCAGGGATGGTTTCTGGCACTTCACACAAATTTATGTGAGACATGGAAGAAAAAAATTAGAGGAATCAAAGTGTTGAGATGTAAGTTGCTGAACTGCTGTGGGATGAGGGGAGTCATACAGATACCCAGCCCATGTGATAACAAACTAGAAGTCATGATGAATCTCCAATGGCAGGTGATTGTATGACAGTAAATTCCCACATGCACTGTGATGAACAAGTGACAGAATGAAAGAGTTTTCCATTCTGATGACATGCTTAGAATGGGACCAGAGTTCAGTTAGGGGACGCAGAGGGGACATGAAGCAAGAAGGGCAGATGATGAGGCCACAGGACTACCTTTCCCTGGATCAGGTGTTATCTGTAGCTCTACAGGAGCCCACCTAGTTCAGCCCCATGGCCAAGCTCCTGAACGGCCTCCTTGGTGCTGACCCAACTGCCCTGTGCTCAGTGACCCTGGTCCAGATGACCATGATCACCTATCAGAGAGACAGTATAGAAATCTTCTGTGTGCAGTGGTATCAGCAGAAGCCAGGACAGGACCCTGGCCGGTCATATATGACAATAACAAGCTTCTCTCAGGGATTCTCTGATGTTAAGACTCCAACTTGGAAGACACAGCCACCCTAAACACCAGCAGGAACAGGGCCAAGGACAAGGCTGATTATTACTATCAGGTGTGGGACAACAGTAATGCTCACAGTGACAGAGGCAGACAGGGTTGTGAGACACAAACGCCTTTCCTATCTGTGTCACACTCTCCATCAGCCCTTGGAGGACTGAGGACAAAGCACAGAGGTCTGGTCCAGGGCTCCAGGTCTGAGATTCCCAGATCTCTCTCCCAACACAGCCCTCCAGGCAGCCTCTGCACCGTGTGGATAAGGGGTGCCTGTGCAGGATGAGGCAGGATGAAGCTGTCATGTTTTCTTGCCCAGGGTACTTGTTGGGGATGAAAGATCAGGCTGGAAGGACAGAGAGACATCCATGGAGACAAGACAAGCTCTAAGTGACAACAGGAAGTCTCACCTTTCCATTGAATAGAAGCATTGTGGTGTTTCTGGGTGGAAACAATTCTCATTTGGAACGAAGAGCTCAAGGGCAGCAGAGTGTACAGTCATGGTATAAGGAGTGAAAATTTTACAGTGGGTCACCCGGATGTCAGTGAGTATGGGCATTCCCAATTCCACCTCTTCATTCCTGGACCCATCAATGCTGGCTATGGGAGAAATACCATCAAATATAGGGCACATATTTAGTGCAAATATCATCTCCTGACATATCTTGCCACAGTCCCATAAGGTGCTGCATGTGACTGGACAGTAAACAAATCTACTAGAGGCCATAAGTCCATCATTCAAGCCAGTTGATTCAAACGGTGGGGATCATGGTAGAACGAGAAAATTTCATGGGCATCAGCACACTGCAGCCCCTTTCTGATATGAAATGTGAGCCTTGGACAAAAGCCACACTGGATGAGGCATTCAGTAAGTCCAAGGGTTACAGTTTGGGAAGAAACACTTCAGGAAAAGCAAGCAAGTTCCTTTCCAGAGTAAAGGTCTATTCCACTAAGGACAGAGCAATCCCTTCCATGATGGAAGAAGTCATGTCATTCATCTGCCACGAGGCTCCTGGCTGATTCCCCAGGGAATGGTCTCATTCTGGGAA